GATTTAATCACTTCTATAGCCTGATGATCTTGGGCTTGTCATCTTCTGCAGCTCTGTGAGTCAGGAGAAGCCTCTAGCCTGGCATCTGACCCATGGACTTGGAGCTTACCACCCTGTATACATGTGTACGTATATAAGATTCAGTGGTTTGGCTTTTGTAGAGAACCCAGCCTAACATATGTTTGTTGAGTGAATGGCCAATCAAATACAAGGTCATAATTTTTTCCAGGGGCATGACCGGGGGAGTTGTGGGGAAGTGGGGAGTAGGAAAAGAAAATGATCTGACATTGACTGTGGTAGTGATTGCACAGCTGTTCTTAATATGATTGCATGATTAAACAGTATGATATGTAAATTATATGCATTACAGGAATTTTTAAAAGTCTACGATTTACCTATCCATTGACCAGTTATTAGACATTTTGAGTTTCTAATTTTTGTTGAGATTATAATTGATGTAATTTGTGTGTGTGTGTGTGTGTGTATAATTTTCATTACCATTCAGTTGTGATAAGGTTCTTCCAGTATACCTATCAGAATCACTGTTGTGGACTCACAGGTAGCAAGGGAATGGCGCCACGGATTCAGTATGTGTGGGAACAAACTTAAGGTCTCAGGCTTCTTGTCGGTTCAGCTCTAAGGACAGCTCGTTTTACCGGCTGCCTTGAATGCTTTCTGAATTTACACAGCCTCCCAAAGTCCTTTCTAGTCTCTTTCCCCATAAGCGTTCTGTACCCTTGGAAGAAAGCTGGTGGAGAGCATGTGTTTTTGTTTTGTGATTCTTGACTCACGTTAGCTGTTGTTGATACTGCTTTGTTCCACAAAGAATATGTGGAGGCTAGTAATTGTCCTAATGGGAAATTAGTAGGATATCTACGCTGGATTCAGGGCAGTGCAAAATGGTGCTCTGAGCACTGAATCTAATTTAGGATGAACAAGTCCCAAGTTTCTGGTAAAGGCTTCTATTTATGAGACCTGGCACTAACAAGCTTAGCTGCACTAGAAAACCCCACAGAAGCATGGACCAGATCCGCATCTACAGCCTTTTTGCAGTTCATGTTGCTGTTAGGTGCCCTTAGGTCGGTTTTGACCCATAATGACCTTATGCACAATAGAATGAAACACTGCACCATCCTCACAATTGTTCCTATGCCTGAGCCCATTGTTGCAGCCACTGCGCTAATCCATCTCATTGAAGGCTTTCCTTTTTTTCGATGCCCCTCTACTTTAGCAAGCGTGAATTCCTTCCTCGGGGACTGGAGACAACATGTCCAAAGAATGTTAAGAAGAAGTCTTGCCTCTAAGGAGCACTCTGGCTGTACTTCTTCCAAGACAGATGTGTTTGTCCTTTTGACAGTCCATGGTACTTTCAATATTTATCTCGACCACTACAATTCAAATGTATCAATTCTGAAGTTCCTGTGATAAGACTTGCCACTCCCTTAACTTTTGTCTCCTTGCTATATGTCATTAGGGGCCTTTCTTAATTGACTGGCCCAGCGATTGCACGTGGCAGCAGCAGAGGCTGGGAGGATGTCCAATGTCTTTTGAGAAGCACATTTTTTTGTACGGAGGAAAGAGTTTTGGAATAAGAAAATTCCAGTAGTTCTGAACCCAGCACCACCCCCTAAAGCTGCACAGTGCAGATAAACCACTTCACTTCTCTTAGTCTCAGTTTTCCTGTCTGCAGAAATGTGGATAACAATTTCTTCCCTCACAGGGTTGTAATAAGGACTAACCGAGGTAAGTTCTTGATTTAAAAAAAAAAAAAAGAGGGAGTGCAGGATGATTAATATAGCTATTATTATCTCACAAAGAAGGAACAAGTTGTTATATTTATGGAAAAATATGTGAAGGAAGTTTGTAGTTTTGAGTTTATACTGGTGTGTGTGTGTGTGTGTGTGTGTGTGTGTGTGTGTGTGTGTGATAAACCATATCCAGTTCTATCCAGGGCAGGAATCCAAAGAACACAGAACGCATGCCCTTGTTTAGAATTCCATATATGCATACATATAATTAGGTCATTAGAAAACTAGTATGCATAGTATCACCACTCAAGAAATAGAACGTATGAGCGCATGGAAATGCCTCCACTCCAACTTGAACTCTAGGGAACTACTCCTGACTTGTGTTCTTTATGCTTTTACCACGTGTGCTTGTCCCTAGACAGTGTCCTTTGGCTTTGTCTGCTCCTGAAACTGACACTTGGGGAGCCCTACTTCCTTCAGCTGTCTCCTTCCACTCACCATTGTTTTGAGACTATGTCATTGTATCTAGCGACAGTTCATTCCTTTTCATTGAATACACTGCAATTTAACAATTTATCCTTTCTCCCGCAGATGGATTCGTGGGGTACTTTGTTTGGTGCCATTATGTCCTATGCTTCTTCATCGGTGGGCATGTCTCCTGGTGTGCCCATCATTAGGAGTTTCTGCAGGGAATAGATTCTGGAGGGAGGGCACATCTCTTCAACGTCAGCAGGTTTAACTAGCCTCCTGCTTTCAACATGTACACATTATGGGGAGCCACATTTTGCATTGTCTGATTTTTGAACGTCTGTTTGTGAGTAGTGTTTACTACCTACAATGTCGCAGCACATGATTTGCTCGTGTTCTCAGTCACAGATGTTTACTCGCAGGTGTTTGTAATTTATAGGGCAAGATTTTTCTAAGCCCCGAATGCTGACTGCTTGGTGGATTGGCAGATTTGGGAAGTAGAGACATGCTATCATGAGATATGTGAAGAAAAAAAAGCTACCGTAAGGAAAACTCTTAATTGTCTGACTAAAAACACTGTCCCCACCCATCCCCACGGGATCCAGAAAGTTCCACAGGCGGAGTTGTTACTGTAACTGACAAAATGCCAATGTTGTTCAACTCTTCTTCAAGATTGGGCTAACGTTTCATATGTGTATTTTTAAAAATGTACGTACTAAAATATATCTTTAAGTTTACATGCAATGTTTCTAATGCTGAAAGACAAAGATCAGGTTTATACGAGATCTCACAACGATTGCTTACAGTCAGTTACTGGTGGACCTATTTGTCTACCCCGCCTCACTACTGCACTTTAGTCTTAAAAAACAAAAAACAAAAGAATAAAAATATCAGATTTATAAAGGTACTAAGAATAGAAAGCAATAATAAGGAACATTAAAAAAAAGGGGGGTATTTGTCGGAACCATGCAAATCATCTCTTTTGGTCATTCCCTGTTATTTTATTTCCTGGTGGTTTTAATTTTCATATTTTGTGATAACTAATGAAGTTGGGCATCTTTTCATTTGTTTTAGTAAAATATTTGCTGTGCCCACCCCCAGCCAGTCCTGGGGCTTTGGGGCTCGGTTCAAGTGGAGTCCCTCGGGGAAATGGGAGTACAGTAAATGGTGTGACCCTTTGCTGTGCATGCCTACTCAGTAGGGTATGCTGGACCCCTCTGGGGTTTCCCCTATGGGCTCCAATGAATTTCTTCCCTTTTGCTTAAAAAAAAAAATTGTGCATAAGTCTTTTGCTTTCATTTTTTCGACCAAATACCCTTTCAGATAAGCTCAATGACCGTCAGCATTTCCTGGAAAGACAGTCAGCCAGAGATGTAAGAACAGGGTAGGTCTAAGTTTGCATTTAAACTATTTGCAGCCTCAGAGAACTACTTATTTTTTCCAAGTAACAGGTACTGTAGTTGTGTTTACGGGGGAAGACCAGGCAGAAATGTCCTGGCCGCTTTCCTCTTCGCAGGTGACCATGAAAGCCGGACGAGTCACCAGAGCCTACCCCAGGGACCCTAAAGACAACAGAGGCATCCCTAACCTGGGTCCGGCTCAACCGTCAATTTCAAACTTCCAAGACCAGCCCAGCCGGGTTTGCCCTTCCCCCTTTCCCATTGGTCAGGAATCGAAAGATCAGCAGTTTGATTGGCTCGTCAGTTCACTTCCTCCTGTACATGTAAGGACTTGGGTGGGGCCCGGCTGTCCATCAAAGGCACAGCACGCTGATTGGCCACACACAAGCAGGTCCCGCCCTGTCGTGTCCGGATTCAAACGCGGCGGCGGGAGGCGCTGGGCGGAGGGGCGCGCTAGCTGACTGGGTTCGCTCACCGTGAGTCTGGCTCCCCCTAAACCCGGACCCCACCTTGCGAGGCTGCCTCTGACCCACACCAACCCAGACCTCCGCGCGGCACGCCACCCCCAGGACTGCCCGGGGCCCTGCCCGTGGGGCCTGGCCTGGGCGGGGGTCTGCTGGTCTCTGCTTCCTGCTTCCGCGCTCCCTGCCTTCTGCCCTGGGGGTTCGGGCGCTCGGTGTCTGTGACGCGGGGGCGGTAACATTCTCCCGTGGGCTTCACTTCGTACCCGTGGTACTCACCCCAGCCTGTTCCCCCTGCTCCAGCCCGACCACTGACCTCCCAGTTCCTTCTGCCCGGCTGGGGCGCGGTCCTGAGGAGATCCGCAAGGCTTGCAGTTCGCCCCGGGACCCTCTCTCGACACCGTTAGAACGTGCACTTCTGCATCGCCCTTACCTTGCTGGGTTTTTTTTGTTAACCTCCTAGCACTCACTGCTTTCCAACGCAGTATGCAGTTTGCTAATAATTGAAGTCACTCAGTTCTTTTATCTGCTGGTGCCCAGGTGGCATAGTAGCTTCCGAGTTGGGCCTCTATCTGCCAGACCGGCACTTCCAAGCCACCAGACACTCTGAGGGAGAAAGGCGAGACTGTCTGCTCTTAAAGATGTACAGCCTTCGGCACCCCAAGGAGTAGTTCTGCTTTGCCCTATAGGGTTGGAATCCATTCGCTGTGGGTGGGTAGGTGCCATCCCTGCCCTTGTGCAACTTACAATCCAAGGGAGGCAGGTCATAAGGTCGGATGTCAGATAAGCTTATCACCTGTTGTGCAGTGAGTTCAAAATCTCCATGTTTAACCATCTCCTGAGTTTCCTAAACGGAGGCTGTATCTTGTTTTTACCCCGTCCCCGATGGTCCTCAAGGAGCCTTTTCTCACGTGTCTTCACAGCAGGGAGATGTTGAAGTTCAAGTATGGAGTGCGTAGCCCTCAGGACGCGAGTGCGCCTGAACCCATTGCCAGCCGAGCCTCCAGGCTGAATCTTTTCTTCCAGGTAACCGCTCACCCTCCCTACTTGACTCCCTTGTGTTTTCATGCTTAGTAGCTGCTTGTCACTCGCTTTGGCTTGAGGCTCGTATTCTAGGAGGAAAAGAAAACTTCTAGAAGAAATTGTACTTGTTGCTTTTTATATAATCTTTATTTTTTCATTCAGGGTATCTTTATTTCCCAGGTAAAAAGTGATAAATGCATATGTCTGTGCAACCACGTTTCTTTCTTTCTTTTTAACTTTTAATTAAAATCAATTTTCTTGGGGGCTCGTACAACTCTTATCACAATCCATACATCCCATACATTGCATCATTTTCTTGGGGTCTCGTACAACTCTTATCACGATCCATCCATCCATCCATTGCATCAAGCACATATGTACATTTGTTGCTCTCATCATTCTCAAAACATTTTAATTAATTGTAACCACACTCCTTTCAAGATATATAGTACATCCATCAACTGGGACGTTTAATTCTGACTTTAAAACCCAAGGTCATGAGATTATTTCCAAGTCAGCTTTTAATTCTTTCATGTCTAGTATCATTGGGGCACTGTTAAAGAACAAGTTAGGGGGGTGGGGGCTATCGATATCCTGACCTCAGAGCAGTTATGAGCTGTGTTACTTTGGATGATTCACTTACCTTCTCTGAATTCGTTTGCTCTCTTTGAAGTAGAAGTAATAGTAATTCTCAGGGCTGTTGTGAGGAGTAAGTTAGATCGTCATTTAAAGTACTTATAGCACTGTGCCTGACTTGTAGTATACCCCATTTTAAGTCTTATCTGGGAGCCTGAGTGATGCTAGTGTAAGCCTTGGATGGTAACTGGAAACTGAGCAGTTGAAGCCCACCAGGTGCTCCAAGGGAGCGCGTGGAGGGTGTCTGCTCCAGTCAAGATTTATAGCCTTAGAAACCCTGTAGAGAGTCGCTCTGCGTCGGATTTGATTCATTGGCTATAGTGAGCTTTATTGTGAATGCTAAGTGTAGAAGTAGTATTAGTTATAATAATACATTTCTGTTCGCTAATACTGTATTTAGGAAATATGTAGGGTACTGTGTAATGATAAGTAATAATACGTTTTGATGAACTACTCTTCAGAATATTGAGGGATGTTCCAACAGGCTGGAATGTGAACCAACTGAAAAGCTTTGTGGTTCTTTGGGGATTATTTCCGGCACCAGTTTAAAACCTACCATCTCTTTCACAGTTTGTCTCTATGCTTAGCTGCCTGGGGCACCATTACCTTGAACCCCCTTTATTTCCTTGAAGTTACTACACACAAATATTTGGGCTTCTCAGTGCATATGAAAGTTGCACTTACACTAAACTGTAGTCTACTGAGTGTGCAATAAATGGACAGATTTGAAATTTTTCGAGAATCACCAGATGTGACACAGGGACATGAGTGTGAGCACATGCTGCTGGACAATGGTGCTGATAGAGTGGGTTGCTACAAACCTGCCGTTGGTAGGAAATACCGTATCTGTAAAATGAGGTATGCCTCTGTGTAGCTGTGGAAGCGACGGTAGCTTCTGTTGTTGAAAGCACAGAGGCAAACATGCTCCTCATCATCTTGGTTCAGCCTTATAACTGAGGTAGGGACTGTTCTCCTTTATGTTTTCAGCCGTAGGAGATGAAGGATATGGAGAAAGCAAGAATCTTCCAAGATTTGGCAAACTTGCTCTAGTCAGTCAGTTTGATTCTAAAGCCTGAGCTTGGAATGTGGACCATATTGCTACCACACGTCTTCTCATTCACATGCCAGTATAGCCACAATGAAGAAAAACTTGCAATTGATTTCTTTTTTCAGGTTTTTTATATCCTTGTTGATCTGCTTTGTACATGATAGTTATGTCCATTGTTGAAAATAGTGCAGTGAAATAGTCTACTAATACTGCAGAACTGCCTGTTTTTCTTTCACCTCTGTTAGAGCTTGCTTTATAGATTTAGAGGCTCTAGTGTTAGGTGCAGAGCCCTGGTGGCTTAGTGCTTATGAGCTGATCTGCTAACTGCAGGGTCAGCAGTTGGAAACCACCAGCCACTTCATGGGAGAAAGAGGAGGCTTTCTACTCCCATAAGGAGCTGTAGTCTCAGAAATTCACAGGGGTCAGTTCTGTCCTGTCGTCTAGGGTTGGTGTTCGTTGGAATCGACTCTGGCAGTGAGTTTGGAGAATTTGAATGTTAGGTCCATATATATTCAAAACTGTTATATCCTCTTGGTGAAATGACACTTTTAACATTATATAATGTCCTAACTTGAATCCTATCACCAATATTGAGTTAAAGTCCATTTTGTCTGATAATCTCTTTTTCATGATGAATTTCTGTCTCCTCCCCGGCAAGCTGTTATATAAAAGTGTACCAAGGCTTTGAACCAGTTTGAAATGGTTCACTCATGGTCGTTCGAAACAAGGCCAGTTTATGTGTTGCATAGCAACCAAATGTCTTGTGGGGGCAATGTGAAAGTGGGTGGGTTTTGACCTGATTAGTAACAGACCCAATGCCCTGCTCAGATGTGGCATCTGTATAGCTTTGAATCTGTGTTGGCAGCCGTCTTTGAACTGGGCACCGCTGCCTGTTTCCTACTTGGGTCACAACCCACCAGTGCAAAAGATTTGGTTGCTATGCAATGAATATATTGCCCTTGTTTCCCTCTTCTTTGACTGAACCTTTTTGAGCCTATTGGAAGCCCTTTTGTGCATCTATGACTTGCTTGTGTGAACAGCTTAAGGACATTGTTTCCTTTTCTGTCAAGTGTCCTTTGAATGAGACTTAAACATAGTAGCGAATCTCTGTATTTTCCATTCAAGGGAAGAATACTTTAGTCTGGGATACAGCATGTCTCTTTTCTTTCTAGTTAACAGTACTTTCCATTACGGTCTAGCCCAGCGGTTGGCAGACTTTTGGGGAGAAAAAAAAATGTTTTTGAGTGAGGAAAAATGTACAGTTCTCTCCGGCCAATATAGGTGTGCCAACTTTTAATTTTGCTAAGTATGGTTGTAAAAAAATCAGGTGTGAAGAAAAACCTGTCTTCTTTATTTTAAAAAAGGTCATTATAAGAAAACTAAGATTATATGTGAATGTGTGTGTCTGTGTGTGTGTGTGTGTGTGTGTGTGTGTGGTAGTGGGTCCGGGTAGGATTGAACAATCTCGGAATAAAGGACTTTCTTTTAGTTTTATAACAACATTCAGCTTTATAAAAATTCACAGTGCAGTGCTCATTCTTCCTCATTTCACTGCAGGCTGTTGGAAACTTTATTAAGAATCAGTACTGTATTTGAGGACTTTTGATCTATTAGGTTTAAATTCATTGAAAAAGCAGAATAATACAGTCTAGTTATTTTTTCGGCAGGATTATGACTCAAGCGACAGATAAGGTAGCCTTTTGACCCAGTGCCTCCCAAACCTAGTTAAGACCTGAATCTCTGGAGGAACTTGTTAATAAAGCAGATTTTAGCTACAACTTGAGAAGCCCTAATTCAGTAGGTACGACCCAAGCGTGTATGTGTATATTTTTTAATAAGCTCTCCAGGCAATTCAAATGTGGTCTGTTTTCTAGTGCAGCGTGACAATCCACTCCCAAACCTAGTGGTTTAAAGCCTCAAAGTGATATTCTCCCGCTCCCTCCCCCCTCCCCCTGCCCCCTATTCTGTGGGTTGCTTGCTCTCACCAGGGTGAATCTTCCACTCGACTCTGTGGTACCAACTGGGGTCCCTGGTAGCTAGGTTGGCGTTAGGGCACCTGGGTGTTGACTGCTGTCTTAGGAACCTCTGTTTTTCTACATGGCCTTCCTCCGTGCCATCTGTGATCACTCAGTACCGAAGCCCAGGGGTTGTAAAGTTCTTCTGTAAACAGCAAACACTGTAGGCTTTGTGGACCTCGTGGTCTCGGTTGCAGTGATCCGACTGTGCCATTGTAGCATCCGAGCAGCCACAGATAATATGTCAGTGGATGGGTGTGGCTGTGTTCCAGTAAAACTTTTGTGTTAGTCTGGGCTGACTAGAGAAACAAATTCATAAACACATGTGTATAAGAAAGTGCTTTATATAAAAGAACAATTGAATATTGAGAAAACATCCAAGCCTAGTCCAGGTCAAGTCCATAAGACCTATATTAGCCCATTTGTCCGGTACTAGTCTACAAATTCCACTTTCGACTCATGCAGCACATACAATGATGCTGAATGCAGGAAGATCACAGGCCAGTGGGTAGAACGTCTTGTGAATCCAGTGGCAGTGGAAGCATCTCAATGCTGGGATGGGTCTCCACGTTTCTCCTCCAGCTCTCTTGAGTGTCTCAACACCAGAAAAGGCAAGGCAGAGAGAGTGGGTCTGCCCTCCAGTGAGCTATTTCTCTCCATCCTACCTCCAAATGAGGTCATCAAGCTGCAACCTGATTGACAGGCTAGACTCCACCCCTTCACTCAGGTTGACAGGAGATTATTTAACTGCCACAACTTTATTTATAAAAACAAATTGTGGGGCAGGACTGGCCCACAGTCTGGCCACAGTTTGCAGGACTGGCCCACAGCCTGGCCACAGTTTGCAGGACTGGCCCACAGCCTGGCCACAGTTTGCAGGACTGGCCCACAGCCTGGCCACAGTTTGCAAGACTGGCCCACAGCCTGGCCACAGTTTGCAAGACTGGCCCACAGCCAGGCTTCTCTATATGGTATCTATTTCTCAAAAGAGCAAAGCTGAAGTTACAGAATTTCTTAAAGGTCCACTCTGAAGTGGCACAGTGTTACTGTGTTACCTTCTTTCTGTGGGTTGAAGTGAGTCACAAGGACATAGAGAAATAGGGTCCAGCTCTTCGATGAGAGGAGTGGTGTGTGCATGGCAGGATGGAGGAGTTGGTGATGGTGATACGTGCAGACAGACCTTCACACCAGTCATGGGCTGGCTCAAGGGAACCATTGCCCTAGGCCAGGTGTTGTAAACTCATGCCTTTAAGGGCCAGACAGCAAGTATTAGTGAATCAAATGGACCAGATGGAGGACTGGGAGTCACGTTTATGATGAACCGATGAACACACTTGCTACCCAGAGGGGACAGTGCTACTTGTTAACTGGTGCCCTTGTATAGAATTACCCCATAGGGTATGGGTGGAGAACCTTTTTCCTGCCAAGGGCCATTTGGATATTTATAGCATCATTCTCAGGCCATACTAGGCAAACATTTAATGAACTCACCTCTAAATGTGATGGCTGTTAGGAGCCCTGGCGGCATGGTGGTTACATGTTGGCTGTTACCTGTAACTTAAGGGCAGTGTGAAGCCTCTCCTTAGGAGAAAGACTGGGCTTTCTACTCCTGCGAAGAGTTAGAGGCTCAGAAACTCCCAGGGGCAGTTCTGCCTTGTTCTAGAGGGTCTCCGTGGGTTGGTATCAATGGGATGGCAGTAAGCTTTTTTGGAATATGATGGCTGAAATGCCTTTCTTTTGGTGAGCTGTGTGATCTTAATTGATATTGATTTTGTGGACCTTATATAAGGCCTATTCATAGTGACCCTATAGGCAGTAGTATATGGCCCACGGACTGGACATTGCCCACCCTGCTGTAGGATTGGCTGTTCTATAATCTTGATGAGAATGGATTGCCAGGTCTGTTTCCCATGGAGCCACTGGACGGGTTTGAACTGGCACCATTTTGGTTAGCAGCCGAGCACTTAATCATTGCACCACCAGGATTTCTTACCAAGTAGCAATATGGATCAATATCGCCCAATTAAATTCTTCAGTTATTTATTTATTTTTTTTAAAGAAAATCCAGAAATCCTAATTTATATGGGAAATCTTCTGCTTTTAAATATTGGCAGATAATTCACGTTACAGTAACAACAGGCTTGCCCTTTGTTGTAACTCACTTCTGAAGTGAGATATTTCTTCTTTTTCATTTTTCCTTGTTTTTTTAATGTTTTCATTATTCCAAACTAAACTCACTGCCGTTGAGTTGATTCTGACTCACAGCAACCCTGTAGGACAGGGTAGAACTGCCCCTGGAGGTTTCCGAGACGGTAACTCTCTATGGGAATAGGAAGCCCTGTCTTTCTCCTGCAGAGCCACCCGTGGTTTCCCACTGCCAGCCTTCAAGTTAGCAGCCCACGTTGTAACCACTGCCCCAGCAGGACTCCTTCTTTTTATTATTACTGTCTCTTAATATCTTTATAAATCGAATCTTGAACATGTGTGAGTGGACCTCTGAGAGTGATAACATCAGCACACCACACACCACCACATCATGTGTTAGGACACCTTATTGACAGTGTACCAGAACCTCCAGAAAATAGGTGGTGGTGAATGCAGGTCTTCCCACTTTGAATACACTGTGTGTCGGGGTCTGCCTGTGCCAGCCACATCTGTGGACAAGCTACAACTTTGCCAATGTTGTTCTAGATAAAGAGCAAATCTAGCTCTCTAATTGTGTCTAAATACTCATAATTTAGATCATCTGAATGAATTCAAGGAGACTAAATTATATTCACAAACTTCTGGGCACGCACGGGAGGCGTGCGAAGTCTTTTTTTTTTTTTTTTAACATTTTCTTCGGGGCTCATACAACTGTTATCCCAATCCATACACACATCAATTGTGTAAAGCGCATTTGTACATCATTTCTCAAAACATTTTCTCTCCACCCAAACCCCCGACATCAGGTCCTCATTTTCCCCCTCCCTCCCCGCTCCCCCCTCCCGCATGAGCCCTTGATAGTTTATAAATGGGTATTTTGTCATATCTTGCCCTGTCCGACGTCTCCCTTCATCCACTTTTCGGTTGTCTGTCCCCCAGGGAGGAGGTCACACACAGTTCCATGTAATCGGTTCCCTCTTTCCTACCCATTCTCCCTTTACCCTCCCTGTTTTGCCACTCACACCACTGGTCCTGTAGGGCTCATCCGTCCTGGAATCCCTGTATTTCCAGCTCCTATCTGTACCAGTGTACCTCCTCTGGTCTAGCCAGTCTTGCAAGATAGAATTCGAGTCATGGTAGTGGGAGCGGGGAGGAAACATTTAGGAACTAGAGGAAAGTTGTATTTCTCATCATTGTTACATCGCACCCTGACTGGCTCATCTCCTCCCCGAGACCCCTCTGCAAGGGGATCTCCAGTGGCCTACTAATGGGCTTTGGATCTCCACTCCAGGCGTGTGAAGTCTTTATGCCCGTCAAGACATGAAGGGATGTCAGACCCAGCAGAGCCCGTGAAGAACAGAAGAGGACCTTTGCTGATGGGTGGTGTGATTCTGCAGCGTTCTCTCTGCGCCGCTGGGCACTGGTGGGAGAAGTGCTGGAATTGTACGCAATTTATTCCTCAGTGCTGGAATTGTATGCAAGATAACTTAAGGGCTGTCAGTTGACGTTGCCCTAGAGCAGGAAGCCCCGGAATTGTGGGGTTAGCGTGTGCTGTGAGCCGTTACGCAAGCTGGCTGCTTGTAATTTATTGTGTGGATGTTATTGATCAAAGCTTTTCATTATTGACAGTGCCTCCATCTGCTGTTTGCCGTTTTTTTAGGGGAAACCACCCTTTGTGACTCAACAGCAGATGTCTACTCTTTCCCGAGAAGGGGTATTAGATGCCCTCTTTGTTCTCTTTGAAGAATGCAGCCAGCCGGCTCTGATGAAGATGAAGCACGTGAGCAACTTTGTCCGGAAGTGTAAGTTTGGGGGATGGTCTCTTGAAAACGGCTGCTTGTGAAACATACTAGAAGGCTGCTGGAGGCTGGTGGTAGTGGGTAAGAAATGCGCTTTCCAGGAAGACAGACCAAGGTGGAAGTTCAGACTCTGTCTGTCATTGTTGGGAGACATGTTGGGCTCTTGGCTGCAAGCCACAGAAACTCACCTCTAAGTAAAACCTGTAAATCAAGTGCTTTGCTGCTGATGCCTAGTTACCCCGGAGGGCAAAGTAGGACTGCCTCATTGTTTCCAATGCTTTAATCTTTATGGCGAAGGAGTCCTGGTGATGCAGGGGGATTAAGCTTTGGGCTGCTAACTTCAAGGTTGGCAGTTCAAACCCACCAACCGCTCTGCAAGAGAAAGACGAGGCTGTCCTTGTAAGAATTTTCAGTCTCAGAAACCCACAGGAGTAGTTCTACCCTGCCCTGTAGGGTTGCTATGAGTCGGAATTGAGTTGATGGCAGTAAGTTTAGGTTTCTTAATTTATTTTTACATCCTATGGTGGTGCTGGACATAGTTAGACCTTCATTCCTGAGGAATTTGTTGTTGGTCTTTTGCCCATACTGCTGGGTGCAGTGCTCCCTTGTCCATTCCTCTCAAACCAGTCCACTGCTGCCATCGACAAGTTGATGCCGACTCACAGCAGCCCTATAGGGCATGTGAAAGTGCCCCAGGTTTCCAAGACAAAATTCTGTGTGGCAGCAGACTGCCTCATCTTTCACTCGTGGAGTTGATGGTGGATAGAAACCATCGACCTTGCAGTTGGCAGCCAAGCATTTAACCACTGCACCACCAGGTCTCCTTTCCTCCCTCTCACTGCCCCGGAGTCAGTGCTGACTCCCAGCGACCCCTGCGGATTCTGAGACTGTCACTGTTTACTGGAGTAGAGGGTCCAGTCTTTCTCCCTTGGAGCTGCTGGTGATTTTGAATTGCCAGCCATGGGGATTGCAGCCCAACATGTAACCACTATACTTCCAGGACTAGCTTAGGCAAAAAAGTGAATTTATTGGCTTTTGAAACCAGGAAATCCAGGAGCCAAACAAGCTTCAGCCATGACTGCTTCTGAGGTTTTGGTGATGTTGGCCTTGACCCCAGTATCTACCCTCACTCAGGGCTGACTCATCCACTAGGTATAGTAAACCCTAACGCCTATGAGATTTCCTTTTTAACCAATTTATATTAGTGGATTTAATTTTAAAATATTAAGAAAGAATGAATATAGTTATATATTTGCTAACGTAGTTGTACAATACAACTTTCTTATTTATTTTTTTAAAGATCATTTTATTGGGGGCTCTTATAACAATCCATACATCAATTGAAAATACAACTTTATATATATATATATGTATATATATTTTTTAATGGGAAGGACTCATGAAGATAAAAGTTCCCAGGCCTCAGGCAAGTCACCCCTGCCTATACCCTGATACTGATTTTTCTGGTCTCCCACAGCATAGGGAGGTTGGCTGCTACTGCAGTGCCCTGCCTTGCAGCCCCCCGGCTTCTGAGCCTTTTACCTTATTCCAGCGCTGTTCAACTGGGGGTGCTTTTGCTCCACCGGGTCATTCGGCAATGTCTAGAGACACTTTTGGTTGTCACAACTCGGTGGGGGTGGTGCTGGCAGAATATAGTGAGTGGAGGCCAGAGTTGCTGCTCACATCCCATAGGATAGCCCCCCACTCTCCAGAATTGTCTGGTCCCAAATGTCAGCAGTGTTGAGGTTGAGAAAACCTAGCTTACACCACCTTACTGTGTCACCAAGCACTCTACCATTTACTGAAGGTCCCCTGGAGGCACAGCGGTTATGCATTGGGGTGCTGACCACAAGATCAGCAGTAGGAACCCCCCAGCTGCTCTGGGGAACAAAGACTTTTTGCTTCTGCCAAGATGTACAGCCTCAGGGTTAGTTCTACTCTGTCCTGTAGGGTTGCTGCGAACTGAAGAGGGCAGTGAGTTTGGTTTTGGTTTATTGACTTGACCAAGGGAGTTTTTCTGTCATGCAATTTGAAAACATAGTTAATTTTCATTATTTATATACACAATAGGCCACACACCAAGACACCAATTTGTGTAGGTACCATTCAATGACATTGATTGCAATCTCTGTCTCATGCAACCATTCTTACTCTCCTTTTCCAAGGTGTTCCTCCTTCATTAGCATAAGCCCCCTAAGTTTCCTATCGAATCATTCAATTTGCTCTGGTCAATTTGAGCGCATATAGATTAGTCTTTTGGTTGTTAGGTGCTGTGGAATTGGTCCCAACTCAGAGCGACCCTATGTACGACAGACCTAGACACTGCCCGGGCCTGTGCCATCCTCACAGTTGTTCTTAGGCTGAGCCCCTTGTTGCAGCCACTGGGCCAATCCCTCTTGTCAAAGGTCTTTTATTTCATTTTTGAAATAGATTGAATCTAGATTCCTAGGGTCATAGTTTGTGCATTCCACATTCTGGTTATTGATAGACTTTTGCAGCTGCTGCTTCTCAGTTTGAGTCGTGCCCATCAACAAATGAAGGTCCCAAAGGCTTGAGTCCATCCTCATTATTAACGTCAACTCTACACTGAGGAGGCAGCTCTTCCTCCGTCATCTGTTGAGTGTCTTCCGACCTGACGTTCTCTTTGACAGTGTTCTGTTTCTGTTCATTGGGCCTTCAGTATCTGACAATGTTTCGATGCTATCTTTAAGGTTTTCAGGGGATAATTCCTCCGAAGTGGGCAGCTTATTCCTTCTTTGTAGTTTTTCTTGAGTCTGGAAGCTTTGCTGAAACTTGTGCATTTTGGGTGACCCTGTTGGTTTTTGAAATACCAGTGACCTAGCTTGCAGCATCCCAGCAACCTGCCAGCCAAGCCAGTATGACAAACTGACAGACAAGTGGTGGGGATTAATCTTAGATAGGCACCAAGTTCAAGGCAGACATTCTTTATTAAGCTTAGCTAAGAAGACTTCAGGGGATATTTTTGGTGTAGGATTTAAAGATTATCTATCTCAGGCAATAGTTTCAGAGATTTATCCAACCTTCATGGCTTGAGAAATTCTTACTCCATGAGGCTCTGTAATCCTGTGCTCTATATTCCCCTTTTTTGATCAGAATTCTTCTTTTAGAATATTTGATTAAGATGTTCAGTGATTTCAGCAACGTTAGCCAAGCACTATCCAGTGCTTCTGGTGTTACGGCAAAGGAGGTGCTTATGGAGGCAGTTAGCCCCATTCTGTTTTCTCCTGTTCATGTGTGGTGTCAATTGGGACTTGAGAGGATTAAGAGTGAAGGGGTGGAGTCTAGTATGTCATTCGGGTGATAGCCAATGAGGCCTCTGTGTGGGCATCACTTCTGAGAATTCTGGGAACTCCTGTATTGCCTCCTGGGAGGTGGGAGACACTTTGTTCTCCCTGCTGACTTCCTGAAAGACATCCCTCAGGAGAATCCACATGGACCTATCCGCTGCAGCCCTGGGAATTGGAGGAGCCACATGGAGACCCCTGCCAGCGCTAAGATGCTCCTACCTCCACTGACTTTGCACCCACTGGCCTGTGATCTTCCTGCATTCAAGTATCCCTACATGTGTTTCATGAGTCTGAAGAGCACTTCATAGATCGGTATCGGACATATGGGCTAATATTGGACTTATGGACTTGATCTGGACTGGGCTAGCATGTTTTCTCAATATTCTACTGCTCTTATATATAAACCTCTTTCTTATACACAGATGAGTCTCTATGGATTTGTTTCTCTAGTCTACCTGGACTAACACATCATGACTCCTCTTTTTCCCCTGTTATCTTGATAAGTGGAGGCCAGTTATACCTTGAATGCCCACTACCAGTTTGTTTTTTCTTTCATTATCTGTATTTAATCCCAGGAAAGATTCTGATTGATTCTGCTTTGAGTCATTTGCCCACCTCTTGACCAATCATGGAGGTGAAGTGTTGTGATTGGCCTGGCCTGTGTGATCAGAGCGGTCAGGACCCTGGTTACCAGGACCTCCTGGAGCAGAGGAGGTGAAGTTATCCTAAGGAGGAGAGAGTGCTGTCTAGGTCAAGGCAGCTTATGCCTATTGTATGTATACAAAGGAATACCCCTCCCCACCAAACTGGAAAAGGCTCCACTGGGCAGAGCTTTTGTAGTATGTAGCTCCCCCCAGGGGAGCGTTGAGCAACTCACTCTTGACTTTTGCACCCAGTGGCATAGCCTGGGAAGATTCTCTGGTCACTGTGAATTTTTTTGTGAAAGAGCTTTTGCTCAAATCTCGGTTTGTTTGTTTTTGTGTGTGATAGCCAATTTAAGAGAACAGACTGCAGCGGTGACATTTCGTTTCCTGCTCCGGAAAAGTGCTGCAGAAACTGTTGCGATGCTGAACACAGCTTACAAGGGCAACACTATGGGGAAAACTCAAGTGTGCAAGTGGTTTTTTTGTTTCACAAAAAGGTGAAATATTGATTGATGACAAACCTCGTTCTGGACTTCTGTCAACTTCCCAAGCAGGCGAAAATGCTGACTGGTAGTGCATTTGGAGTTTGTTCTACCATGTCAGACTGTTAAACAAGCTTTCTATTTAGAGGTTCGGAAAAGATAGTGTAACAGTGTATGATGAAAGTGTATGCCTGATTTGTGGCAGACAGGGAATTGGTTTTGCCACCAGGAAAATGCACCAGCTCATGTAGCCATCTCAGTGCGCCAGTTTTTGGCAAAAAGCAGCATGCTTCTCTTGTCCCACATACCTTACTCGCCTGACCTCGCTTCATGCGACTTCTCTTTGTTTCTGGGAATGAAGAGGGACCTGAAAGGACAGTGATTTGACAACAGTAAGAGGAGGTGAAGAAAAAAACAGGGAGGTGCTGTCAGCCCTCCAAACATATAAATTTGAAAAATGTTTTCAAGAATGGAATCGCACATTTGGCAAATGTATTAAGTGTAATGGAGCATTCTTTGAAGGTGATAAGGTTGTTTCGTAAAAAAATTTAAATTCAGAGCTTTGAAAAAAAATTATTATTTTTTTTTGGCACACCTTCATATATATTTACAGTGGTCAGCTTCCTCATCTGTAAAATGGGGATGATCTATATCTGCTAAGAGTGTGTGAGGGTTGAATGCCTTAATGCCCAGAGTAGGCATGCTACCCAGCAAAGAGCAATCACCAGGAGCCACAGCATTTCATGGACTGTTAGTTGTCTTTCACTTTAAAATGTATGTTAGGTATTTTACCTCTATTCCACATTTGTTTGAATAAGCTCCCCTATGAGACTTTTAAGGGGGCGGTGGGAAGGCGGAGAGATGAGCTGTCCTCAGGACTCTTCTGCAGTCTCAAGCCTGTCCTCTGTTTACTTCAGAGCCTCTCATCTTCTGGAGTCACCCACCCCGTTACCAGGAGCCTAGGCTTAGTGGGATGCAGATTTTAATTTTTTTAATAGAGTTCTCTTCTGGTGAACTGTGTTATGCTTTTCAAGTGGCTTCCCAGGGAGTATGTATGGTTGAGAGGCTGATTGAAAAAGGGTGATTACATTAGGTTTTTCTCTTTAAGATTCTGTTTTGTAACAAACTTTTTTTTTTACACCCACTCTACCTCCTTCCCCTGTGATGAAGGGTTTAGCAGCTTCCCTTTCTCTAGTCACTGGAGTCTCCCCTTAGGGTGGAGATTTTCTTTGGTGCTGTTGGGGAGAACAGGATTGCGTGTAGCCCTGCAGCCGTAGCTCAGGCAGAAGGGGAGCAGTTCGTGGGAACCCAGGAAAGGATTTTTGTTCCCAGGGCCTAAAACTGGGTGCTCTGCGGCTGACCAGAAGAGTGAGTGTTCACGTCTACCCAGGGGTGCCTTAAACAAAGGCCTGATGAGCTGTTTCTACAAAGTCAGCCTCTGGAAGTCCTTTGGAGGCCCAGTTCTACCCTGACCCACACGGGGTCGCCATGAGTCGGAATAGCCGCAAAGACAACTGGTTTAAAACAGTATCTGGTCCATAGGAGGTGCTGGGTATACCGTTGTTGAATGGCTGTATTGCTAAGTGAATAAAATAAGTGGCAAGGCATTAAGCACAGGGTGATAGAATTCCTGTAAAACTAAACAGCGGGTGTGATAGGAGAACATGCCAGGAGAAAGGATGATCATTGTAAAGTTGAGCTCTTTTTGAGGATTTGCAGAGTAGTTGGCATTCTACCCTCTATATGCGCTGTGAGTTTGGTCGGGACTTTTTGTTTTGCTTACTTAGCAGTATATTTGTTCAACAAATACCCATTGAACGTTTATTATGTGCCAGGTTTCATTTTATCTACAGCAGTGGTCAAAAGGAACAAACATCTCTGCCCTCAAGGATATGCGTTCTAGTGGAGACTTAACGACCACTTTTTAAAACATGTGCGTGGTGATCTGTCCATATCCCGTCTGTCAGTTTGCCGTCCTGTGGTGGCTGGTGTGTTGCTGTGATGCTGGAAGTTAGGCCTTCTCTGGTATTTCAGATACCAACAGACTAGCCACGGTGAACAGATTTCAGTGGAGTTTCCAGACTGAGACAGAGCAGGAAGATCTACTACAAAAAATCAGCCAGTGGAAACCTGATGGATGACAATGGAGGACTGTCTGGCTTGCTTGCTTTGGCCCCATCATCAGATGGGGTTCATTATTGGAGAGGACATATTTGGTGAAGCAGAGGGCCAGTGAGCTCAAGGGGGGCCCCCAGTGAGGTGGACTGACACACCATCCTCAGTGATAGTGGCACGATTGCCACACACGTGCTGGTGATTGTGGGGGCCCGGGCAGTGTCTCCCCTTGTTGTACTTGTTGACCGACCGACTGTTCATTGGTGCTGATCCTGTCTGTTGCTGATGGTGCTCCCCACAAGCATCCTGCCATGGACTTGTAAACACTTTTTTCTGTGTTTCTTGAAAAGGCGAATTCCTAGAAGGTGAAAAAAACGTATTGCTGAGTTTCAAGAACTGAAAGTCATAGACTCACTATGTGGACATTTGCCTGTGTTTATCTGACAAGTATTATGTGACTGCCTTCCCACTGAAGTGCTTTGGGTCTTTGTCGCCACGTCAGTATTCAGCTCCCACGGAGCCATGATGCTGTCATGGAAAGTGCCAAGGGAGAAAGGGTGGTGAGGATTTGCAGCCACAGCGGCTTCTAATAGGTAGAGAAGTTTGTTGATTTGTTTTTAACTGTATTTTTGGTGAAGCTCTGCAGAGCGGTTTAGGTTCCCATTCAACGATTTCTACATGTATTGTTCAGTAACACCAACTACATTCGTTCTTCATGGGAGCATTCTGAGTATTTCTTCCCTGTTGGTTCCGTTTCCATGGATCTCGATTCCCAGCCCCTGTTCACGCTCATCTGTTTTAAAGTCACTGTTGACCATTTGGCCTCATACAGATGACTTCTAAAAGGAGCATGCTACTCATGGGAGATCATCTTTTTATTTGCCCATTTTTTGTGTGAGCCAGTATGTTGCTTAGGTAAGAGGTGACCTCGGGGGCTAGTTTTGGTTCAGGGCTTCAAGAGTATCTCAGTTCATCAGTCTCGGCATGTCATCCCGTCTCTGCAAGCCAGGAAGTTCTGCTGTCTCTTGTTTGTTCTTTTTCTGATTTGATGTTCTCTTCCACAGCTTTTTCTCCCTTCTAGTCCCAGCCATTGTCATCTGGCCCTTGTTTTTACTTGTATATTTATTCATAGTTGTTTCAAGGCTAGGACTTAAGATCTCATCTGTCCGTCTTAAGGCTTTGAAGCCTTTGGATTGAGGGTGTGGCAGGTTTCCCAGCCTTTTGAGGGGCTATTCCAGCAGTTTTGCCGGGAAAGCAGTTTGTCTCCTTGTAAGGTGGCGAGAATTGGTGGCTCTGGTGAAGAATGGCATAAGCAGCCTCGGGCCCAACGCCCAGTAGAAATGAAGAGAATGGCTTTGTGTGTGAGCAATGTGGCATCAGATTCAACTCAGAAAGCTGCAGGCTGGCAGATTTGGAGAATTATAAATCAAAACTCAAACACTTGATCTGAAAGGAACTTGGAAAGTGACAGAAAAGAAAGATGGGCTCCGCCCAGCTTGGTCAGGGCAAGAGGAACACCTGGTACAGTGTGTGCCCGGTTTTTGCCCTGGCCGGAATTCTCCGTGGGGGCACGGTCGGTTCAGTCTTTAACAGTGGTCACGATGAATCCATGCCGAGCCACCCACTGTTGTTGGCTGTTTCCCCCGGGGGCCACGGGAAGGTGTTTGGAGGATGACTCTCTGGAGTGTGTGACGTGGTCCGTGGGTGGGAAGACTCAGTACAGTGGGCGTCCGTCATGTGTGACTTTGAGTCAAGTGAAGTCCTCTCCACCCAGGCAGCAGCACGCTGTGGAGGGGGATGGCCGTGGAAACGGCGCTGCAGTTCACAGCGAGTCCTGCTCCAGGATGGCCGGCTATCAGCCGGCTCTTGCCTTGTTGGGCTCAGGCCCCTCGTGGTGTGAGCAACTTGCCCGGCAGAGTGTGATCCTAAAACATGACCTCTCAACCCTGGTTTCCAACCACCGAGAGGGTGATGCTCACCAGCTCCCCACATGCAATTGGGGAGAGGCTTCCAGTGTCCCAGGGTGGGTTGAGGACAGTCTGTCCATGTGAGGGATCCGCCAGCACAGCTTTGAGCGTGGCCTTTCTCTCCTTCCTTTGGTGCGGAACCCATGGCACCCACAGGGCGGGCCAGGTTGTTGGTGAGTTGCTGTTAGCCCTCCATTCCTTTTTTTAAAAAATAACTCGAAGTGAAATTCGCATACCATTGACCATTTTTAAAGTGAACACTTAAGTGTTCCCCATCTCCTGCAGCCAGCCACCTCTGGAGTTCCAGCACATGTGTGCCCCTCCAAAGGAAAGCCCTGGACCCATGAAGCAGTCTCCCCACCAACCTACCTCATCCATTCTGGCTTGTCATCGGCTGTTGTACATGCAGGGGCGCCCAGCCCGGTTCACTTAGAGTGGGGGTGAAGGGTAGGTGGGTTTCCAGTCCTCCACCGTCCATTCACTGAAGAGCTACCGTTGAGGGATGGGACTTGCATAGAGAATAAGATGTATACTAAGAAAACAGACACCTGTCTAGATCTGGGGTAGGCCAATCCTGAAGAGGATCACTTGATTCCTTGGACTAAAGCTGTGCCCTCTCCTCCCCCTGCCCTTTATTTAGGACTGCTAGATATTAAGGTAAGGAAGGCGTCCATATTACTGACCCAACCCTTGGATGGGAGAACTTGGGCTAGTGAGACCGACTGAGTGGTCCGAGGGGAATGATCTGGAATGGGCTCTGAAGTCCATCGAGATGGGACTCATGCTGCGTACATCACGGTCTAAACAATTCTGAATGCTCTCAAGTGTCTGATGAAGGAAAGGATGCCCTGTCATCAGAGGAAGACACGCATGGTGTGCGTCTTCCCCTCTGTATTCCGAGTCGACGGGATCCAAGTCTTAGCTACCATGGAAACTGTACTTAGAAATTTCTGGAGCCCTCAATGTTAACGTTTAAAAACAACAACAACAAAAAACACTTTGGGGCTTATTTTATAATGATTCACGATGGGATAAGAAAATGACTAAATGTCTTTTGATAGTGAGGGAAGATGTAATTCTCTTTCTCTCTCTCTGCCTTCCTAGTCCTATAAAGGGGCACCTACTCTTTCTTTACCTGGGAGTCACTCTTCTTCTCTTTCTTGCAGTCTCCGACATCATAAACGAGTTGCAGGCACTCCAGCCCTCGGTCAAGGACTTTGAAGTCAGAAGTCTCGTAGGCTGTGGCCACTTTGCTGATGTGCAGGTGGTCCGAGAGAAAGCCAGTGGGAACATCTATGCCATGAAGGTGATGAAGAAGAAGACCTTGATGGCCCAGGAGCAGGTAGGAGCTGTCGTCCACTACACCCTTTTGTTCTAGCAGGTTATCCCTGGGCCTGATATGTGGGTGTGGTTATGACGGGGAGGAAGAAAGGCCTCTTGTGTTGGCTCCTCTCCTCCTCGCCCTGCTGTTGGCTAAGTTGGAAGGCTCCTGAGTTCCCCTTGACGGCTTCATCATGCATTGATAATAGTATTTCTTCCAGAGCCATCCTGGCCTTTTAGCTAATGATTGAAGCTGCTCTTTCGTGACAGTCAGTTGGGGATTCAGGGATATGCATATCATAGGGTAAGCCAGCTGGTGTTTGCTTTGGTCCACACTCTATATGTTTGTGTTGTGGATATGTGTATTTGATGTTAAAACAGGCCTTCAGAGAAGTTAAATAGAGTTGTGGGTTATGTGGCTGGGCAGTGGTTTGTATGAGAGCAGGTGAAAGGTTATCTTCAGTTGTGCTATTTTTCTTTCTTTTCAACAAAGCTGCCATCTCCCGGCCCAGCGATTCATTTGCCATGTTCCTTGGGAGAGAGCCATCAGCCTTGCAGCCCAGAGAGTAATTTATTAGTTAGAGACATTCAAGTGCACATAATGGGCCTGATGAGGGCCCTGGCTCCGTGAGAAGCCTGCAAAAGGAGCTGGAGGGCACTGGCTGTCACACTCAGGGTTTTAAAAAAAATATCGGGAAGTGCAGATCCATGAAGTTGACCCGCTACTGCATTACAGAAGGGGAGAGTGATCAGGCCGTTTACCGCAGTGCAGTGCGCAGGGCTGTTGTGAGCCAGGGGCCGTTAGGACAGGCTTGCAGAGCTGGGAGAGCACTAGATTCTGGGCAGAGATGAGCAGCCTGACCATGCCCAGGGTGGGTGTGGCGTGTGTGGCACTGCCCTGCTGTGTGTTTCGTGTTAGTGGTGTAGAACAAATAAACTGGAGTTAGAGAGACTTGAAGACATTTGGGTGGTATGCCCACCCTCGGGTTCACTGGTTTACCAGGAGTACTCACGGCCATGATTCATTACAGTGAAAGGGTACAAAACCCAAATCGACAAAAGAAAAAGGCACATGGGTCGAAGCCTGGGGAAACCAGGTAGGAGCTGGTTTCCAGTGGGGTCGCGTAGCATGTGCTGAATTCCTCCGGTAGTGTGTTGTGGCTACACGTCTGGAGTATGGTCAACCAGAGTCTCTCATTAGTGACTCGGTGCCCAGGGTTTTTATTGAGGGCCCTTCACTGAGGCCACAAGCTGCTTTTCAGAGTCTCCATGATGTGGTCTGCATTGAGGAAGGAAATGTGACTGATGTCACACCCACTGCCATTGACTCGGTTCCCATTTGTAGCGACCTTGTAGGGCACTGCAGAACTACTCCTTAAGATTTCTGAAACTATAAATCCTTCCAGGAGCCAGGAGCCTCGTTTTTCCCCCTTGGATTGGCTGGAGGGTTTGAGCCCCTTGAAGTAGCAGTTAAAACCCAGCACTTAACCCATGGCACCACTAGGGCTCTGAGCTGTAGCATAGCAAGGAAAAATGGTAGAATGTTGCAAGAATTTAGGAGGGGAGGGTGTGAAAGATGCTCAATTATTGTGAGGATAAAAGAAAGGAAGGTATATTTTCCATTGCTTAAATTTGGAAAGAATCACAAATTTATAGACAAGTTGTAAGTATGATATAAAGAATGTTTTCCCTGAACCATTCACCCACAGTTTCCTAACTGGTGTCCAATTAACCTTTGATTACTTCCTACATTCTCCCACAGGCCACGACACAGCCATCAAAATCAGGGTACTTAGAATGACCCATTAAACTGCCAAAAGCAGTGAAGTGGCCATTGAGCTGATTGCAACTCACAGCAACCCTGGGGGACAGGGTAGAAATGGCCCCAAAGGGTTTCCAAGGCTGAGACCACCAACCACATTGTTCTCCCATTGAACCACTGACCTTTTGGTTAGCAGCCCAGCACTTAACCGTTGCACCTTTCATGTAAATTTCAGACCATACTCAAGCTTCACCATTTGGGCCTTTCACGTCTTTTAAAAGCGACTTTATTCTGTAGAGCAAGCCGTTTGAGGTTTATAGTAAGGTTGCCTGGGCCACCGTGTCTCCCCCTCCTGGCCATTTGGCAAGGATGCTTCCCTGGTTCTGCTCCACTTCATTAGGATTGAATCCTTCTGGAGAGGAAGGTGAAAAGGAAGGGCAAGCTTTCGGGTTTAGGGAGGTGAGCTGACTTTAAAGAGAGATGTTAAGTAAATTACTGAGCAGGTAGTGCTTGGAGCTGGCAAACTCGCTGAGCAAAGTAAGTGAGTGACAGAGGTTTGTGGAATGCCAGGCTAACTGATGGGTTTTTCTAAACCAGCTCAAAGACAGCAGAAAGGGCATTTCCTGCCTTGCCCCACAATGGTTGGGTCTTTTTATTGTCCTATTGTAAAGCATACCTTTTCCCTCCAGGTTTCCTTCTTTGAGGAAGAACGTAGCATACTGTCTCGGAGCATGAGTCCCTGGATCCCCCAATTGCAGTATGCCTTTCAAGACAAAGATAACCTCTATCTGGTAAGCCTCTGCACCCATCTCTCTGAAATCAGTCTAGTGCCGACCTACACAGAGAGCACCGTTGTCCTGACAAATGTGCTGCCTGCCCCTTTGGTCCACGACACCTCCACATTCAGGAAATAGCTGTCCTGACTTTCAGAAAGCTTTGTTCTGAAGACGCAGGATGATCCACTTAGAAACAGCCCCATTTATTATTGGGGATTGAGCAGTGATGAGAAGTCACTTACTTGGGACCAGTCCGCCATTGCCTTTAGTAGGATCTTGCTCTAGTTTTTAAACATTGAAATAATTATGGTTACTTGTTATAAAATAATGTAAATGCTTCTAAAATGGGTAAAATCAAAGAGCAAGTCTTCTACCTTTCTAATCCCCTTTTAACAAATGTCCGTGGTTATGTTTGTCTTTCTGTCCACCTCCTTACCCCCGCTCCCACTTCACCGTGCCACACACACAAAATATCTCTGTGTACATGTATAGTACATGCAGATGGTTTGTTTTACAAGGATGGCCTCAGTTACTCCCTACTGTGCTTTCGCTTTTTGCCGTTCAAGAATTTATCATGGTTAGGCGGAATAAACAATCTAGAGGAGAAAACAGCAGGACCAATGGTTCCAGGGGCCAGGGAGGACGTGGGAGAGGGGGAGGCAGGGGAAAGGAAGTGGGTGTTAACAAATCCAGAGACAAAGGAACAACAAGTGATCCGAAATTGATGACAAGGAGGGTTTAGGAGGCCTGGTAGGGCTTGATTAAGGGCAATGTAACCGAGAGGAATTACTGAAATCCAAATGAAGGCTAAGCATGATATTGGGACAAGAGGAAAGTAAAAGGAAATAGAGGAAAGAACTAGGAGGCAAA